AGTGTGTGTGTGTGTGTTTGTGTGTGTGTGTGTGTGTGTGTGAGCCTGCCCACACAATAGCATTGTCCAGCTGGAGAAATCTTCGTTTGGAGAGGCAGGGAGTTAAACAGCGACAGCAGTATCAGCATCAGCAGCAGTAGCAGCAGCAGTAGCAACACCAACAGTAAAAAATTGCGTGTAGCAGGTGGCGTTTGAATCAGAATAGACAACAACGACTAAAGTGGAAAAAACAAACAAACAAATAATTTAGAAAATAGAAAACCAATCCACTGACAAACGTTTTAAAAAAATCAACCCTTATAGCTCCCAGTCTTAAATGCCAGCAATTTGAAATACAGTGGAACCTTTCTAAGACAGTACTACAAGGGCGCCAGAAAAAAATCCATCATGGTCATAGACATTTTCCGTTTTGGACAGGGGGTATTAGGGGGAGAGAAAAAAGGGGGGGGGGTCCACGGGCTCAGCCGTTGGGATCAAGGGTGGCCTGTCCGGTCGGAAAGCAGTGGTCAAAACTTCATCCCACTCTTGTGCTATGCAAGTCTTTCTGATAATGGCATGCGTCAGTCTTATCCATTGCCATCAGCGCTTGCATCTCATAGGATCACTGTTTGAGCTGTTTGACCAATTAAAAACCGAAACGATTGAACGTCTCCTTTGCTTCCAAACTTAGCCCCGCCCATCGGTGTAATAAGCACAATCAACTAATCTGTCCCCGCAGTTTTATGCAAAATAAATTCTGAAATTATGCAAACTGAGCCCCAAAAATGTGAAATTATGCGATTCTGTTAATTTTAACAAATAATGTTAACCCTATCCGGGCGCCCGGGGGTCATTTTGTACCCCAGGGTTGTATTCTTCACATTTTAGAATACTTCTAGAACGAAGATCTCTTTGAAACTTTCAGTATTTCTCAAAAAATCGTTTTGACAGACTGTTAAGCAAAGCGTACGGATCGGTTTGCAAGTAAATTAATTTCCTCTTTGGAAAGTGGTGGCAGAGAGTTCCCCACGTCGTATGGATACGATAGTAAAACACGACGTACGGATAGGGATAACAGACAATAATTAGAAATTATGCAAAATATTATCAAATTTTGCTAACTTATGCGGGTACAGACTAATGCAACCCCTCCTCTGCTGTTCGTGTAATATAATTCGAGGAACTTCTTTCTCAGTTAGCCCTTGAATTCAGTGCGACACGCTTCGGTCATTAATACAATTGATCTCACATCCCTGTAAGGCCCCTCGTGCTATAAGTAGAAGGCCACTCGACCACTTTCACAAGTACTGATGAGATTTCGCATCCACACCACCCTGACCATCTGCACCGCTCAGGAATCACAGGGAGGGGGTAACGTTTACCCCCAAGCACGGTGCCCCCAAGTCACCCTCCTTCCCCCCTTCCTCGCCTCATAGCATAGTGTGAAGGTTAGATCCGATGGAACCAAGGAGATTTTAAGCTCCTCGGATGGAACCAAACTTGGGACTTTTATTTCAAATCAGACAGATAAAAACCCGTCGAAGGGGTGGAATTTCTCTTTTCGTCTTCGGGCAGAGCAGGTTTCTGTTTTATAGAGGTAATTATAAATCAATTTATTCAGATGGAGCCGGGAGATTCCGTTTAATAACAGGTTTGCCTTGGGGTGATTTCCGTCTTGGCAGGTTCGACTGTACTCCGGAGAGAGACAGACAGACAGACAGACAGACAGACAGACAGACAGACAGACAGACAGACAGA